ACCTACAACACTCCTTTCATGTCTAACTTTGGTAATCATCCCAAACTTTCACAGTCTGTGGTTTCCATATTCATGTTGTCTAAGCGCCCTGCAACTAAGACCTATACTGAACCCATTGTTACTCATATTCGTGTTGCTATTGTTACGACGCAGCAGACGGACCCATTATAAATTTAAATGAAAATTAGAATTCGAATGTAGTCCGGATTTTTGAAATTAACGGCTGGAGTTTTCTGCATTCTATTTTCGACGTCGTGGAGTCTATTTATCATGGATTTTGGTTTATTGTTCTTCATTTGCGGCTAGGTTGTTATAAGATTTTTTATGAATTTTATTTTGGGTCCCTTTTTCTTCATTGTATTGAGGCGTAAACGTGCGTATATAGAAGATTGATAAAACAAATGACATATGACATCACTCGGCGGCCCAGCTCGGAGCAGGAGAAGGAATGGGGTGAGTTTTTAGTCAGTTAGAGTCTGACACTCTCTCCCGCCCTACCTTACGACCATTTTCCCCATGAAGAAAAACCCTGTACAAAATGATAAGCCAAATAGCAATATTTGCGAACACCAAGATAATTTAATAGATATGCAAAACACTTGGAGTAAACTTATTATATGAAAAGCGAATCGCCGTACTTGTTCATTAAATTAAATTACAATTTCGAAACCAAATCGTTACTAACTAAAAGTTAAGTTAAATTAAGTTTATTGTGTAATTGCTTAAACCTACGAAAATAATAAAAGAGTGATAGCTTGTTATGTAATTATTTAATATGTGTGCACTATTTTAGATCACTTTGGGCTTGCATGTAGCTGTCAAAGTGTCATTATAAAAACCTTGCTGTATTATGTATGCGAAAGTCTGTTGTGCATAGTAACAGATAAATCTAGATCTATCATTTCGATAGTATAAATTACGTGAGTGCGTAAATAAGTAAATTTTCATAACTTCTGTTCTTCCCGTCTGCTTATTTTTTTGTGACCACAGTTTTCTACTATTGAAATTTTTCCTGCATAAACAGATCATTCCAATCATTTTCCCACCTTATACAACATAAATGAAAGATACCATCACAAGCATATTTTACCTATTGGTGGTACGCACTCAAAACATAACTAGTATCAAAATTGCATAAATAAATATTTACATGTATTTGCCCCCTTTGAAGCCCCCTTTGACTATGTATGTACATTATGTTGAAGTTTACCTGGTTACTTTACAAAAGTAGCGTAAAAAAATACACTTGGCAAAATTTTATAGATACGTAACCCCCTTTAAGACTAAGGAGACTAAGCATCATAATTTAGTACCCTTATTTGTCGTTCATTTATTTGCTTTAATAATAAAATGGGTCTCAAAACGTTCAATTAAAGTTTCCTAAGTCCGGGGTACTATACTCACAAAAGACCAAAACTTTTACATCAAAATGTCCCCGACGTTCAGAGTACGTCTGAAGTATTTATTTGCTTTTATGAATTCGCTGGAAAGGGCGCGAAAGGGGATTTAAGTAGGTCTTTTTAAGCCTTAAGTGGTTTGCTGAGTACACAGGTGATATAAATGAAAGTACTGACAAAAATACTTTTGTGTATCTTTATTGTTACAGACGTCCGCGAGCGCTGATGTTAAAATCATTCGTATTTTAAATTTGACTATAAAATGAAAGAAATTCGATATAAGTATGTCATCATCATCATCAGATTATAGGTGTTCGTTACTGAGCCCTTTAATCACTCCACTAGTTAATAATTAGAAATTAAAAGTTTAGGTTCCCGCAAGATGTTTTCCTTTACCATTTGTCTTCCACTTTTGTACTTTACTACTTTGTTAAAGTTCAAAAGCAAGCAAAAACACATGCATGAGAAACGGACGCCTTAACCTCAGGGCTAACACGACAATATCCTTATAATAATGCCAGAAAAACATTACCCTCATAGTTATATGATCCTGAAAATCCAAATAACGTGGGTTGGCCACTGTTGTCAATTATATGTAACATATTTTTTATAAATAAAGTTCTGCCTACACGTGCCTAAAATAGTTCAGAAAGAACAGATTTAGCCTCGTCTTCTCCGTGATAATATGTCGTCTGACCTTTGCCTAAAGCCTTTGTTTGTGGGAGACTTCTGACGACTTGTGGGCTTTCTCTACGTCAATGTCCCCCATATTGTTATTTCAAGGCAGGGTAAGTCACGTGGCCTATTTAAACTACCTTGTAGTTTCATTGCGGAAGGGATATCTAGTTATTCGGGTGCTTTCATGTGAGTGAAGCCTCGTAAGGGTTTATATACAGCTTTGTCTTATTTAAACCCTTGGCTAAGTAAATAGTTCTAAATGAGGTTCCATCCCTTGGAAGGCCTCTATTAATCTGACTATTTTAACACTTTAACAATAAATTTTGCGTTTTCATTCCTAGAAACAACAGCGTTTGTTTTTCAAAGGATTCTTTAGTTATTGAGTATTGCTTTTTATTTGAAAACTCGACCAAGTTCTTCATTCATAGCTTCTTCAAGACCATATACGTATACTACGAATAGTTAATTCTGAAAATAGAAAACCTCTTCTCGTGAAATGAAGACCGGATTACGGACATAATTATAATGAATCTGTACATAATATATTATGCGACCAAAAGCTAACGAGGCAGGTTACAAATTTACATAATTTCAATAACAAAATTACTTACTCTACTTAACGCATACTTAAAGCGTAATAATTTATGTGAAGATAAACTGGAGGGGTGTGTGGGTGGATTTACCTTCATACTGCCAACCTCGGTTTTATATTAAACCCTCGTGGGAGGACACCCTTACATCGTAGGAGTGAAGTAACATGAATAAATTGAAAAATTTTCCTTCGACGTAACATGGAGTGACGTCATTAATGGTAATGATCAATTGCAGTGAGTCGATCAATAACGTTTAAGACATCAGACGTGAAGTGTTCGACATTTTACTATTCCTGGTCTATTCTCGGGTGTTATCATTTTCCTATTAAACCTTTTGGCTCAGCTTTTATAGGAAACTCCTCCAGGCCAGATCAGTCGTGATCTGTACCGTCTGGGATAAACGTTACTATCTACGTAACAAATTGAAATGTTAGCCCAATCAGTCAATTGGTTTCATGTTTTAATGTAATCGACGTTTCAAAGAAAATGAAAGCATAAAGACATGAAAGAAGAATTGTGGGAGATCCGACCTTCGCCATGAATGGGTCAGCTCGAGCAGTGTGATTACAATGGATTTACAGAAATCAGGTGTGAAACAATTACAGTTTTGTGTTTGACTGAGGTTACCGAAGGCCCAATCCTTCTTTCCCACTCCCAATCCCGAAATCACAGAAATTCTAATGCGTAAAAGACCTACTAAGCACTCGTAACTGTTCTGGTGTTGCGCCTGGCCGTGAGCGGTGCCGATTGCTTACCATCAGGTTATCCATCTTTTCGTTTGCCGTCCAGTCACATACAAAATGGTGACTTCCAAGTCGCCTGTCCAACCTGGAGATTGTGTGAAATATTATGGCTTATTTCAAAGGTAATTTTTAGCAGGCAGCGGTTATATTTCAGCTGAAGATTACTGGTAACAACTATTTAAATATTTGGTAAAACTTACTCGAGGCTTAATACTAACTTGTTTCACTTAACATTTGTAGTAGACCTCTAGTCATCTTAACCTTTTTAAAAAATACTTAAGTAGGTAAGGTAAGTACCAACATAATAATATGTGAGAATATTGAGTTCCATTGAACCGTATACTTTCTTTGAAGTGTATCAATTAAAATGCTTGTTAGTACTTAATAATATAATGATGGCTGGAATTTCTTTCATAAGAGAAAAATATGTGTTTGCTATAATAAAATACTTCATACAACTTACTTGCTCATTATTTGAAAAGATGCTTGAAGAAATTGTTGCTGGAATTTAATATTAAGTTATTATATCGTACTTATAAAGAATCGAGGTATTTCTCATTAAAATTGTACAATTTTATATGTTTTTTTTTTCATTTTGACTGCTGGTGGAGATCCAATTAGTTTTCTCCAACAGAGAATGAAACGTAGTTTTTTTTTTATAATTACGTAAATAATATTTGTCGTCTAAGTTATTTTGGAGTTACATCAAACATACGAGTACGTATATGTATTGATTTTTTTATGTAATAGTTCGGCAAACGAGCAGACGGATTACCTGATGGTAAGCAATCAGCGCCGCCCATGGACACCCGCAACGGAGGAGTTACGAGTGCGTTGCCGACCTTTTAGGGATTTGGAGATTTACGGATTGAGGAGGGATTGGGGAGGGGAAGGATTGGGCCTGCGGTAACCGCACGCACACGGCGAAACACAACGCTGTGGTTGTTTCACGCCGGTTTTCTGTGAGGCCGTGGTATCACTCCGGTCGAGCCGACCCATTCTTGCCTAAGCATGGCTCTCCCACACTTGATTGCAAGCAATAAGCTTCTTTTAATGGAATCACTAGCTAGAAGTAGAAGATCTTCTCCGCTCGGCAATCCTTTTTTGTGAGAAGAAAATAACCAAATGATTTGTTTCACCAAAGGTGAGGTGAGAAGGAGTATCAAACTCTTACTGACTAAAAACACCCCCGTTCCTTATCCAGACCAAATCTGTGGTACCTTGTCGAAGAAAGAGAATGGTTATTGCTTTTGTCTATCGATCTCACCGAGGATTAAAAAGTGTAACATTGTTTTAAACTTTAATTTAAAAGTACTAAGACCACAAAGTCATCCTCACGTATAAAATAAAAAAATATTTCTTTTGTTTAAAAATATTATTTATACTACTTTGTGCAATTATTTATTACTACCTACTATCAGTATTAAACATGAACTTCCGAAGAACTATGTGACATAGTTGTGTTTTATAGGGACAATGATTAGTTGAACACAAGAATGGCGTATGTATAACGACCGCCATGTTGCATATTCAATGATAATGAATAATGTTGCCAGTATTCCAAACTGTTAATAAATGACTCAAAAAAGAAAAAACCTATTATTTATTATGGATATTATAAATTCTACCTTCTATGAAACAGTTTCAGACATCCTTAATTAAATCTTATCTAATAAGGGCTGATTTTTCAATGGTTAGATAAAAGTTATCTGGGTAATTATTATGATCCTGTCGCATCAGAATTTTTGAATAAGACAGTGACAGCAACAATTTTATTCTTCAGATAACATTTATCTATCTATTGAAAAATCAGCCCTAAGTATGTACACCTAAGTGTTACCTAACTAATATACAGAATCATACTTAAAATGCTTACGTTTGCCCTTTACAGGGGTGTGATTCTGTAAGACTTCATTCTAAACTTCGAATCTGAATCCGCCGTGAGTAGTAGTACACTAGCGCTACACTTGCGAGTTGAACTAAATTGACAGCATCATTTTGATAGATAAAGTATGAAATGACGTTAAAAGTGGCATTCTAAAATTTAATTTACCCGTCATTTCGACGCTCACTTCGCACTCGAACACGATTCAAAATCAAACAATTTTTATAGAATCGACGTGCAGGGTGCAAATTCTTACATAAGATTCAAGGCGACACCACAATCGTCATATTAACTGTGGAACTGGCTAGAAGGTAACGTCTCATGGGTTCAATTCCAACATACAATAACACTTTGTGTGATTCACAGGCCACTATTTACCCCGAGGAATGTACCAATGCTCTTCATAAGTTCCTCGGGTGGGTAATAGCTTTTATTACATTATTTTCAAATAAAGAATCCATATTAAAACCTCCTTGATTATCAAAACCAAATTATTTGTTAGAAAAGTTATTTATTCAAACAATTTTCCGAGGTCTAAAATGTTAGGAAAACTTAGCTTCAGTCCCGTTTTGTTCGCGCATCAAAAGAGAAAACCGGTTATTGTAATTAACTTTTTGACCTTAGAATACTTTACTAAGGTACCAAGATTCCTTAAAATCATTCGTTTTCATAGGTTTTGGAAAACGCTGACAGTTCCGAAGAATACGTTCTTAAGAATTCCCAATAGCATCTCTTGCAGCTTGCAACTATTACCAAAATTTACCAAAGGATTAGGAACCCTAGGCCTTAGGTATAATCAAGCGATATTGTAAATAGTTTACTAAAACATTTTTCCTTGATGGCGTGTACCGGGAAAACGTCAGACTTCTATTGACTGTAAATAAGTGGAAACTTAATGAAAGATACGAGTAACTAACAGGATAAATGTGTTCCTGTTTCTCTGTTAGCATGCACATAACTAATGTAAACGGTACTTCGAGGATCACGTTTATTAAATCCAACTGTACCATTATTTTTTCCATTGCCTGCTAAAATTGCTAAAACAAATAAAAGTTTTCCACGTAAACTTTTATTTGTTTTAGGGCTCATTTTTCAATAGTCAGATTCATTCAATAGTCAGTCGTGGTGGCCCGGAGGTTAAGGAGCCCGCTTCTCATGCATGAGGGTGTGGGTTCGAAACCTGGCAAGTACCAATGTGACTTTTTCCGAGTTATATGTACTTTCTATGATTATTTAGACACCACTGACATACGGTGAAGGTAAACATCGTGAGGAAACCTGGACTTATAATTTCTTATTATAAGTTTGAAATCGCCAACCCGCATTGAGCAAGCGTGGTGATTAATGCTCTAACCTTCTCCGTATGAGAAGAGGCCTTTGCTCAGCAGTGGGCACTTAAAGGCTGATGATGATGATGATGATGATGAACCATTGAAAAACCAACCGTTGAAAAAATTGAACAAATTTACCAGCCACCAATTTTATTTGAAGCTACAACGTTTTTAAAACGAAGTGTAATCTGTGAAATTGGGGGTAGGGGAATTTTCTATGACATACTTTATTTACCTATAGTGGCACAGTGGCTCCAGGGCTAGCCCCGGGCTTGCTTTATGTATGGACCGGAACGCATAGGCCCGGCATACGATACTCTATAGATACACAATTTTAATAAAATTTTCCCCTTAGGCCAGTGAAATTACATCGGCGATATCCAGAGGCTATTGAAATAAACTTGTCCATGATTTTCAGTTGGAAAAAGACTAAACTAACAGTATTTGATTAAAAACACGTGCTTTTAATTATTCGCACGTACGTTTTTCTATTTGGATGTTTGCCATAAAAATAGCTTCAAATTTACATCCGTTGTGTATAATAAATAATATGTAGTAGGCAATTAGATTGATTAGTTATTCAGTTAACAACCTAGCCTGATTCAATGAATGTATACCCATAAACTCACATCCTGAAATTGATAGGTTATGAGGAATTTCGCCTGTCAATCAAATGGCTTATCGTGTAGACCGTTTCTTAAATGGTTAAGAATGTTGGCTGAAACATATTGTACACTTACATTTCTTTGTGTCACAGATATGTGATCTCTTACACAGTTATTACTACATTAGCAGCTATAACGTGTAACTATGTAGAAAGAAGTACAGCAATTCTCGTTTCCTGCATCATTCTAGGATGCCTGTCTCGTTAGTTCCAGCGTCACAATGAGATAATATGGAAGTTCCTAGATAAGACGATCATTGTTACTACACGCCTCTAATATTTAAACTTCATTCCCGAGTTAATAAGAACAAAAATACATGGCGGGCTTTAATTAGCAAAAACTTCTTTTGACATGAAGAATTGGTAATGAACAAAAAATCTGTAATAAATGCTTAATAATAAAAGTTTTAGGTTTTTGACTTTAATAAAAGCAAAACAAAAGATTTTTGGAACAAATATTTTGGCAATAAATCTTTTTGATGCACTTTTTTTATACACGATCTTTAGGTCTTGTATTTTCAACAGCACAATAGTAAAGGCGCCAGCGTGGGCTGTTAGTGCTTCACACATACAGGTCTCAGTTCATTAATGACGCATTTACTGATTCATTCTCCAAGGTCGAGTACGTGTTCTCTCTTCCTACTGCATGTTTAACTATGTTTAATTTACATGGACTGTAATGTCGAGAGTGTTACAACTCATAGACGTCCTCGTACTAAGTACAAGTAGCCATTGTGATGCGAATATGTGCGAGGATCACAATGATGCGTAAGTGGTGACCAATTACCGCGGATGCACGCGAGCCTCACATTACTGGGAGCACTATTATTGTGGCTTCCTTGTCCTTTCACATAGACGGGACCAAGTACTGACTGAGTACCTTTTGTTTTGAAAACTTTAGAATAATATGTGTATATTTTCCACGTCTATTTCTCTATTACATGATTTAGATGGTTAGTCAGGATTGTAATTGGCACTTGATATACGGACAAGTACCCACTGCTCAATAACTCGGCGCCGGCCAGGGATATGAAGGGTCATGTTTGAAACTTCGACGAGCTAGTTTATTTACTTCATCCGCCTGCCGGCAATCATCCTTTCAGTCACATTTCAATTACGCAGTCAATTCAACTGCACGCAGTCCACTTCAAATAGACTCAATCTACGGTTATTTTTCAAACGAATGAAAAGAGTAATTATTGGGATGGGATCGATCGGTTCACGATTATCTCAATCTCCGGGTTGTATTGCGACGGAGTATTACGTATTGCAGCATAATGATACCATAGCCGAATTGAGTAAGACGGTAAATATAAATTTCCTAATTATAATTTTCACGGGAACAGGGACGTGTCGCGTGCGCTCCGCTGGTTGGCTAAACTCCAGTTTTATATTTAAACGAACTAGTAGCCACTGACATTTTATGAAGGAGATTTTGAAACATTTCGAATTGTGGCATAGCGAGTAGTCATAATGGATTAGTGGCATGTCGAGTAGGTGTGCATCTGGTGGGTTTACTTAGGCGATGTTATAACTTAAACCTTTTTAAAAAACCAGGATATTTAACTCAATGGTTATTTAAATCATTTGTTATAAGATATACAGTGAGTTACAAAATATTTTACTTGACGATTTCACATTAAAATTAAAAATGGGATTAAGAAATAAAGAATTTTTAAGCAGAGTAATTATCGAAATCTTCGTTTTATGAAGTTTTTTCAACATCGATATCAACTTTATTCAGAAACTCTATAAATCACCAGATAGACTTTAATCACCAGATTTTTAATCGGCTGTTGGTCGTTATCTTAAACACATCTGTATCAGAATTGGTGTGCATATAATCTGTGTCATTATTCTGCGAATGCTTTATATAAATATTAATGTAATAATTATACTACTGGAGATAAGAGCCACTTATAAATAAACAATGTACATTATGTGTCGTCACTGCACATGTCGTACAGTCGTTACATTTTGATAACTCGTAATGAGAGTGACTGACAACCGCTTACAGGCGGATTTGTATCCTGAATACAAAAATCTCTAACTTGTTTCATTTTAGAGCTAGCTTTTTTTTTTGTGAGGGGAAAATCATCAAATGACTTCTCCCGGCCAGGGCCGGGCAGGAGGGAGTGTCAGACTCTTACTGACTAAAAACCCCTCTGTTCCTTCTCCTGCTCTGTGCCGAGGTCGCGGTACCTCATTGCGCTTACCCTGCAACCCCAGCTATTTTAGTGCTAGCTACACCTGTAATTGTAGAGATTAGGGTGTTCAAACTAACAAATAAATAAAGTCTTTAGCTTAAAAATAAAAACAAGTACGTACAGCATTACCAGCAACAACCTTTGAAGAGTCAATGCTGGACTATCTCCAAGCTGGGTTGTGGATATCGCAGTTTAAAAAAGTTTCTTTTTTGTGGAAGGAAAATCATTCATATTACTTCACCTTCACGTCACCCTGGGTGGGGTGAGAGATAGTGCTAGAGTATTACTGACTAAAAACTACCCTGTTTATTTTCATGCTCCAGGCCTAGCCCGCGCTTACACCCCGGCTTAACATCAGCTCTATTTGGTGCCATTTGAGATAGACTATCGGCTCTTTGAGCTACGCGCCGTACACGGCAAAAGTTGTGTTTCGTCCCAAATGTTTAAAAAGATATTGTTATTATTCCAATTAAAAAATATTAATGTACATTGTATTCTTATGTACATTGTTATAGGGACTCTTTATCACTTTGTTATATTGATGTCATATTTATAAGTTCGAGTAGATAACTTGAAAGCTCATTGCCACAAAACCACACAAATATGCCTAGGTGCCTACAAATGTATTC